GTAAAAGACAAACTTCAACAAGGAATCGCTGGAGGACTATCATGGTAGCTGGGTTGAAGCCTTCCATATCATTGACAGTTGTGGACAATCCTGTACAATCCTGTACAATCCTGGACAATCCCAAACAATCCTGGACAATCCCAAACAATCCTGTACAATCAGAAACGATCATGATCGATCCTGAACGTAGTTGGAACAATGGATGTCATTATGTTGTATGCATTTCATTATCACGGTACAGTAATACCCTGTTCATCCTGAAGGTACTATTCTCGGTGAAATCATTCAGATAGTACTGTTCTAGGTGAAATCATCCAGATGGTACCAGATGGTACTGTTCTAGGTGAAATCATCCAGATGGTACCAGATGGTACTGTTGTAGGTGAAATCATCCAGATGGTACAGCTCTTGTGAAATCATCCAGATGGTACTGTTCTAGGTGAAATCATCCAGATGGTACCAGATGGTACTGTTCTAGGTGAAATCATCCAGATGGTACAGCTCTTGTGAAATCATCCAGATGGTACTTTTCTATGTGAAATCATCCTGATGGTACTGTTCTAGGTGAAATCATCTAGATGGTACTGTTCTCAGTGAAATCATCCAGATGGTACTGTTCTAGGTGAAATCATCCCGATGGTAGTGTTCTCGGTGAAATCATCCTCATGGCACGGTTCCCGGTGAAATCATCCAGATGGTACCAGATGGTTCTGGTCAAGGTGAATTCATCCTCATGGTACTGTTCTAGGTGAAATCATCCTGATGGTACCATTCTCGGTGAAATCATCCAGATGGTACTGTTCTAGGTGAATCATCCAGATGGTACTGTTCTAGGTGAGATCATCCAGATGGTACTGTTCTAGGTGAAATCATCCAGATGGTACCAGATGGTACTGTACTAGGTGAAATCATCCAGATGGTACTGTTCTAGGTGAAATCATCCTCATGGTACGGTTCTAGGTGAAATCATCCAGATGGTACCAGATGGTTCTGGTCAAGGTGAATTCATCCAGATGGTACTGTTCTTGGTGAAATCATCCAGATGGTACTGTTCTTGGTGAAATTATCCAGATGGTACTGTTCTTGGTGAAATTATCCAGATGGTACTGGTCAAGGTGAAATCATCCAGATGGTACTGTTCTTGGTGAAATCATCCAGATGGTACTGTTCTTGGTGAAATTATCCAGATGGTACTGGTCAAGGTGAAATCATCCAGATGGTAGTGTTCTCGGTGAAATCATCCAGATGGTACCAGATGGTACTATTGTAGGTGAAATCATCCAGATGGTACCAGATGGTACTGTTGTAGGTGAAATCATCCAGATGGTACCAGATGGTACTGTTCTAGGTGAAATCATCCAGATGGTACCAAATGGTACTGTTCTAGGTGAAATCATCCAGATGGTACCAGATGGTACTGTTCTAGGTGAAATCATCCAGATGGTACCAGATGGTACTGTTCTAGGTGAAATCATCCAGATGGTACTGTTCTTGGTGAATTCATCCAGATGGTTTTGGTCAAGGTGAAATCATCCAGATGGTACTGTTCTAGGTGAAATCATCCAGATGGTACTGTTGTAGGTGAAATCATCCAGATGGTACTGTTGTAGGTGAAATCATCCAGATGGTACTGGTCAAGGTGAATTCATCCAGATGGTAGTGTTCTCGGTGAAATCATCCAGATGGTACCAGATGGTACTGTTGTAGGTGAAATCATCCAGATGGTACCAGATGGTACTGTTGTAGGTGAAATCATCCAGATGGTACCAGATGGTACTGTTCTAGGTGAAATCATCCAGATGGTACCAGATGGTACTGTTCTAGGTGAAATCATCCAGATGGTACCAGATGGTACTGTTCTAGGTGAAATCATCCAGATGGTACCAGATGGTACTGTTCTAGGTGAAATCATCCAGATGGTACTGTTCTTGGTGAATTCATCCAGATGGTTTTGGTCAAGGTGAAATCATCCAGATGGTACTGTTCTAGGTGAAATCATCCAGATGGTACTGTTGTAGGTGAAATCATCCAGATGGTACTGTTGTAGGTGAAATCATCCAGATGGTACTGGTCAAGGTGAATTCATCCAGATGGTAGTGTTCTCGGTGAAATCATCCAGATGGTACCAGATGGTACTGTTGTAGGTGAAATCATCCAGATGGTACCAGATGGTACTGTTGTAGGTGAAATCATCCAGATGGTACTGTTCTAAGGTGAGATGGTGCTCACTGGTTCTATCCAGGTGAAAATCATCCAGATGGTATCATCTGTTGTAGGTGAAATCATCCAGATGGTACTGTTGTAGGTGAAATCATCCAGATGGTACCAGATGGTACTGTTCTAGGTGAAATCATCCAGATGGTACTGTTCTTGGTGAATTCATCCAGATGGTACTGGTCAAGGTGAATTAATCCAGATGTTACTGGTCAAGGTGAAATCTTCAAAATGGTACCATTCTAGGTGAAATTATCCAGGTGGTACTGTTCTAGGTGATATCATCCCAACAGTACCATTCTTACTGAAATCATCCTGATGGTACTATTCTACATGAAATCTTCAAGATGGTACCACTCATGGTGAAATCATCTAGATGATACCATTCCAGGTGAAATTATCTCGATTGTGGATTCTAGATGAAATCATCCTGATGGTACCATTCCTGGCACTGATTCAGGTGAAAACATCCAATAGTACAGTTCTTACTGAAATGCTAATGGTACCATACCAGGTGAAATCATCAATATGGTACAACTTTGTGTGAAATTGTTTTGAATGTACTCTTCTAGGTGTTATAATTCAGACTGAATCATGTCAGGATTATGAAATCATGATTTCTGAGTAATGCCCTTTGTGTAAATGTCGATATTCATCGCTAATCACGCAGAATTCTGGAAAGATTGAACTTCAAGGCTTCACTAACCAGCTACCCATTAACTGATGATGTCTGTGGGATCTACTCTCACAAATCTTGATCACAAAATGACCTTCAAATATCACATTTTTTTCTGAATGAGATCGTTCCAGTTTCCTTTTTAACATAACCCAGCAAAAATTGAGTAGTATATACCAACCCTGTATCTTGCCTTCGAGCTGAATGAATGAACAACTGCTCGATATATGAACAGATCATGATGAATGACAGCACTGGCTACACTGACCATATCGCAGGAATATGATGATTGTCTGAGAATGAGGCGATACTGTCATGGAACACCTAAAAACACCCACAAAAATACTATGATGTGATTATCAACAAATATAGCTTTGTTTGAATAATGACAGATAGTGAGCGAAATACACAGAAAGAATCGTCGTTAAGTTTTGTGCAAAAATTATTCTGATTTAAAAGATCTGCAAAAATATGTTTCAGGAGAAAGTGTTCACAAAAGTTAGATATTTGAGAATATATCTGTGAAAATAGCATATGTATTTCTATTTCCAGAAAATATCTATGACATTGAAAGATCGAAGAAGGTCCAATATCCATATTCTCAGTAAAGGTTTCAAAATTATGCTCAGAAAGGTATAGAATAATTTAGAAATGTGGGAAAACTTGAAGTGCTTCAGAAATGGGAATGAAATGAGAGTCTGGATACATCTTTACACGAAACATTCACTGATGTGGTTTGAAATGGGTCCAATAGATAAACATTCATTCAGACAAAAAATGTTTTTATAACTGCCATGTTAGCATAATGAATGGTTAAATACCATTTTCAACATGGCCACCATTTCCCATGTATAGGAAGGTATTCACTTGTGGTATGGGGTATTCACATGTCCAACTAGGGTGTTCAAATGTCGAACAATCGTATTCACACGTGGTACAAAAGTATTCCTATGTGTTGAAAGGTATTCACATGTTGTATGAGAGTATCCATGTGTTGTACTAAAGTATTCACATGTTGTATGAGAGTATCCATGTTGTACGAAAGTATTCACATGTTGTATGAGAGTATCCATGTGTTGTATGAAAGTATTCACATGTTGTATGAGAGTATCCATGTGTTGTACTAAAGTATTCACATGTTGTATGAGAGTATCCATGTGTTGTACTAAAGTATTCACATGTTGTATGAGAGTATCCATGTGTTGTACTAAAGTATTACATGTTGTATGTATATCACATGTTGTATAAAGTATTCACATGTTGTATGAGAAGTATCCATGTGTTGTACTAAAGTATTCACATGTCCATGTGTTGTACATATTCACATGTTGTATGAGAGTATCCATGTGTTGTACTAAAGTATTCACATGTTGTATGAGAGTATCCATGTGTTGTACTAAAGTATTCACATGTTGTATGAGAGTATCCATGTGTTGTACTAAAGTATTCACATGTTGTATGAGAGTATCCATGTGTTGTACTAAAGTATTCACATGTTGTATGAGAGTATCCATGTGTTGTACTCTAAAGTATTCACATGTTGTATGAGAGTATCCATGTGTTGTACTAAAGTATTCACATGTTGTATGAGAGTATCCATGTGTTGTACTAAAAGTATTATTCACATGTTGTATGAGTTGTAGTATCCATGTGTTGTACTAAAGTATTCACATGTTGTATGAGAGTATCCATGTGTTGTACTAAAGTATTCACATGTTGTATGAGAGTATCCATGTGTTGTACTAAAGTATTCACATGTTGTATGAGAGTATCCATGTGTTGTACTAAAGTATTCACATGTTGTATGAGAGTATCCATGTGTTGTACTAAAGTATCACATGTGTGTTCCATGTACTAAACTAGGTATTCACATGTTGTATGAAGTATCCATGTGTTGTACTAAAGTATTCACATGTTGTATGAGAGTATCCATGTGTTGTACTAAAGTATTCACATGTTGTATGAGAGTATCCATGTGTTGTACTAAAGTATTCACATGTTGTATGAGAGTATCCATGTGTTGTACTAAAGTATTCACATGTTGTATGAGAGTATCCATGTGTGTTGTACTAAAAGTATTCACATGTTGTATGTATCCATAGGAGTATTCACATGTGATGAGTATCCATGTGTTGTAAAAGTATTCACATGTTGTATAGGATTCACATGATTCATGAAAGGTACAAAAGTATGATTTCATCAGATGGCATGTACAGATCTTAAATCACACATCCATATAAAAAAATGAGATGATGATAATACTATTGTTGCTAGGATACGTCCCGAGCTACTATTTTATCCCCAATTCCAAGGATACATAAGTGTCTTGTCCTCAGACGTTCCTGCACCCAAGGCCTGGTCATCCGGTCAGTATTGAGCAGATGTCATGCTACACATAAATACAAACTACTTGATTTATCACACTTGTTGGATAAAAAATACTATCTTCCTTCTAACTACCTACAAAAATTGAACTAAAATTGATCATCTATACTAGCAACAGTAGAATGTAGTTCAATGTCGCGGAATTCCACAAGAGAGCGTTGTCTCTCTGAGATTGTCTTATTCACACCAACATAAAGCAAGGATGCATATTTAATATCTGAGTTACCTCCCATTCTCCACAGAAGTTGAAGAGTTATCTCCCATGGACATAACAAGTGGCGCCATAATCGATGACGTCCAATGGCGCAGAACCCGGCACCATTTAGAACAACACATGTTTATACTGTGCGCCCATGAAAAATATCCCATGGACTCCTATACACCATGACACAACTGGCTAACACACACGGCTTACATACATACACTCTGCTGTGTCTCACTTCCATTTGGACGACTACGCATAATAAATTTCAACATTCTTCGTGTATGTGCTTCATAATTCCCCGGAAGCTGATCTCGGTATATCCCACAGTATGAAGCTTGCTTAGATAATCCTCTCCTTGCACCGTGTGAACGAAGCATTGTCACTGCGTACATGCCTCCCGATTGTTGGCTGATACACTTCCCAGCATTCCATGAAAACAGCCATTTCTAATGATCACATGATTTCATTCTGCATATAATTAACAGTCTACACATATACACATTGATGGAACACTTGTGAAATTATATCTATAACGATTCTGGAAGCAGAGACGATTGGCTGATTCACATATCCCATCATTCCCATGTAATCACTTCCTGTACGGCAGACATGATGCTTTTCATTGGGAATCACAAAGCCTAAAGCAACGTCACTCCCTTCTGGAACTGGAACCTGGGGACACGACCCCGAGACCCTCCATTGGTGGAACACTGAGCTGCTCACTAGGTGGCGCTTTCGCCACTGGTCACATGACCTGTGAGTCAAGAATCGTCAATTTACCACCCTGATATCCCACTCTTCACGACAGATCACCACTATCCCACGATCATCCTCACTGGATGGTCTACCCGTTGACCGGTTGCACGATGTCGAGACGAATTCGTCCTCCTTCCCATCTGCCACCATGCAGATCGAGAGAATAAATTTATCACATAACACAGCATTATGATAAATAATTATTTAAAGCATGCCTACACGAATGCGTATACCTATGTCAAGCCTAAGGACGTATGTCGTAAAACAGTCCGCACTGTCAACATGAAAAGTATAAACTGTATCACAGTAACTACGCTGTAACACCGATGATGCACTGTTGCAGTCGCGGATGATGTGGCGACAGTGGCGTTGACAGTCAGGTTTTTATTACTCGAGAGGTTGATCTTATGGCAATGCTCGTCATTGTAGTCAGCCAGTAGATGGCACAGCTTGTAACAACCCGGGGGATTGCCGTACAATGAAGACTGGGAGGCGATTTCAGGGTCTGGAAAAACAAAACATAGAATGATTTTCTGTTTGGTTTTGTTTGTTGGTCAAGCCCTACTCATCAATATTCCAGCTATGATACTAAATAATCTGGACCAGACAATCCAGTGATCAACATCATGAGCATCGATCTAAGCAGTTGGGATAAACCAAGTCAGCTATCCATCCCGTTAGTCGCCTCTTACGACAAGCATGATAGTGAGTGAGTATGGTTTTATGTCGCTTTTAGCAATATCATGGTGGGGACACCAGAAATGGGCTTCACACACTGTACCCATGTGGGGAATTGAACCGGGGTGTGACCACATGGCTTAACCAACCGCCCCAGAGGGGTGATATAAAAAAGACATAACATATAATTGGTGATGGAGGGTGAGAACATTGGGAGGAGCAATGAAAAAATTGGGGGAAGAGGAAAATATGATACATTAAAAAAACACCCTCATCCCCGCTCCCCCTTGCCACCCCTATATAATAAATAATAAGTCTCTAAAGAACAGATACAAACACATTGGGATATTCAAGGCACTAACACAACAATATATTCTTGTTGACCATATGTATTGGTCAGGGTTATTGACTTGGTTAACGGCATGTCCATCGATACGCATTCTGCCAATCACTGGATTGTTTGGTCCAGATTGTAATTTTTACAGATTACTGTCATTAAAACTAAGATATTGGTGAGTATGGCATCAGACAACAGACTGCAACTTGGATGGCAAACAGCTTGTTGCTTTGTTGTTTAAAGGCACAATGTCACACATTTTCGACAATATTTTGGCCAATATTATATCTATTGGGACATATGCACTCACTTTAGCTTCCTGTTGATGTAATAAAAGACATAATATCCTTTACGACTTGCCTGAAATCGATGATTGAAACTTCGAGCAAACACATGCCATATATATGGAATGTAAACAATTGCTCCAAACATTGTAAACTGTCACATGCTGAACTGGTTTCAATCGCAAGTTGTACGTAGGATATTTGTAAAGAGTGCTCCATGGGACATAACTATGGGGTTTGCTTGAAATAATGTTCGGCTGGTAGAGGGTGCAAGAGAGTTTATTTAATGCAACGTTCCATTAATTCATTCAAACTTTTTAATGTAATATTGTAATCTAATTACGTAATTTTGGGGGGAATAAATTATATGGTAGCTTCCCTGAGGGCTGATAGTATTATTGAGAGAAATGCATTATATATTGTTAGAGGAGCGTGGTGTGATATCGTGCCTTTAACACAACTTTTAGCATTACTCCAGCATTATGATGGACCAGACAAACAAGTGACTGATATCATGAGCAAAGATCTATGCTGATCCCACCAGATCCATCAAGTTGCCTTATATAAATGGCAATGGAGTATTGGGACCAGTCCTAACACTAAAGCTCCTTGAGTTAATAAGATTTGTATTCAAGGCTGTGTAATATACAGGTGTAAGGTTTTATTAGACACCTGGGACATTGTTACTGAAGTTGGGGAGGACATATGTACTACTGAGGTTGGACATGTTTGACACTTTCGAACAGAGAGACAACAATTGATGGCAGACTGTGTGAAGGGAGACAGTGAGACCTAAACGAGGAGACAGCAAAACCTACAAGAGGAGACAGCGAGACCTACACAGGGAGACAACAAGACCTACAAGAGGAGACAGCGAGACCTACAAGAGGAGACAACAAGACCTACATGAGGAGACAACAAGACCTACATGAGGAGTCAGCAAAACCTACAAGAGACAGCAGAGACCTACACAGGGAGACAACAAGACCTACAAGAGGAGACAGCGAAACCTACAAGAGGAGACAAGACCTACACGAGGAGACAACAAGACCTACACGAGGAGTCAGCGAAACCTACAAGAGGAGACAACAAGACCTGCAAGAGGAGACAGCGAGACCTACAAAGGGAGACAACAAGACCTACAAGAGGAGACAGCAAAACCTACAAGAGGAGACAACAAGACCTACACGAGGAGACAACAAGACCTACACGAGGAGTCAGCGAAACCTACAAGAGGAGACAACAAGACCTACACGAGGAGACAAGACCTACATATGGAGTCAGCGAAACCTACACGAGGAGACAAGACCTACAAGAGGAGACAACAAGACCTACATGAGGAGACAAGACCTACAAGAGGAGACAAGACCTACACGAGGAGACAGCGAAACCTACAAGAGGAGACAGCGAGACCTACACAGGGAGACAACAAGACCTACAAGAGGAGTCAGCGAAACCTACAAGAGGAGACAGCGAGACCTACACAGGGAGACAACAAGATCTACAAGAGGAGACAGCAAAACCTACAAGAGGAGACAACAAGACCTACACGAGGAGACAACAAGACCTACACGAGGAGTCAGCGAGACCTACAAGAGGAGACAGCGAGACCTACAAGAGGAGACAGCAAGACCTACACAGGGAGACAACAAGACCTACAAGAGGAGACAACGAGACCTACAAGAGGAGACAACAAGATCTACACAGGGAGACAATAAGACCTACAAGAGGAGACAACGAGACCTACAAGAGGAGACAACAAGATCTACACAACAAGACCTACAAGAGGAGACAGTGAGACCTACAATGGGAGACAGAGAGAGCTACAAGAGGAGACAACATGACCTACAAGAGGAGACAGCGAGACCTGCAATGGAGTATTGGGACCAGTCCTAACCCTAAAGCTCCTTGAGTTAATAAGATTTGTATTCAAGGCCGTGTAATATACAGGTGTAAGGTTTTATTAGACACCTGGGACATTGTTACTGAAGTTGGGGAGGACATGTTTGACACTTTCTTGTTGACAACATGACCTACAAGAGGTGAGGAGACAAGACCTACAGGGGGAGACAACTGGACCTACAAGGGAGGACCTACAAGGGGAGACAACTGGACCTACAAGGGAAGACAACTGGACCTACAAGGGAAGACAACAAGACCTACAAGGGGAGACTACACGACCTACAAGGGGAGACAACAAGACCTACAAGGGGAGACAACAAGACCTACAAGGGGAGACTACAAGACCTACAAGGGGAGACTACAAGACCTACAAGGGGAGACAACTGGACCTACAAGGGAAGACAACAAGACCTACAAGGGGAGACTACAAGACCTACAAGGGGAGACAACAAGACCTACAAGGGGAGAAGACAACAAAGGGGAGACTACAAGACCTACAAGGGGAGACTACAAGACCTACAAGGGACTACAAGAGACCTACAAGGGGAGACTACATGACCTACAAGGGAGACAGCAACAAGACCTACAAGGGAGACAACAAGACCTACAAGGGGAGAACTACAAGACCTACAAGGGGAGACTACAAGACCTACAAGGAGGAGACTACAAGACCTACACGAGAGACAACAAGACCTACAAGAGGGGAGCAACTTATAAGGGGAGACAACAAGACCTACACGGGAGACAACAAGACCTACAAGGGAGACTACAAGACCTACAAGGGGAGACTAGACTCTACAAGGGACCAACACAGACCTACAAAGGAGACAACAAGACCTACAAGAGGGAGACTACAAGACCTACAAGAGGAGACTACAAGACCTACAAGGGGAGACACATGACCTACAAGGGGAGACTACACTGACCTACAAGGGAGACTACATATGACCTACAAGAAGGGAGACTACAAGACCTACAAGGGGAGACTACATGACCTACAAGGGGAGACTACAAGACCTACAAGGGGAGACTACAAGACCTACAAGGGGAGACTACAAGACCTACAAAGGGAGACTACAAGACCTACAAGGGAGACTACATGACCTACAAGGGGAGACTACAAGACCTACAAGGGGAGACAACAAGACCTACAAGGGGAGACAACAAGACCTACAAAGGGAGACTACATGACCTACAAGGGGAGACTACAAGACCTACAAGGGGAGACTCACCTAAGACCACTACAAGGGGAGACAACTTGGACTTACAACTACACGACCTACAAGGGGAGACTACCACAAGACCTACAAGGGGGAGACAGGACCTACAAGGGGGGGAGACAACTGGATCTCTACAAGGGGAGACAACAAGACAAAGGGAGAGACTACAAGGGGAGACTACAAGGGGAGACACAGACACAACAAGACCTACAAGGGGAGACTACAAGACCTACAAGGGAGACAACAAGACTACTACAAGGGGAGACAACACAAGACCTACAAGACCTACAAGGGGAGACAACAAGACCTACAAGGGAGAGACTACAAGACCTACAAAGGGGAGACTACAAGACCTACAAAGGGAGACTACACAACGACCTACAAGGGGAGACTACATGACCTACAAGGGGAGACTACACGGGAGACCTACAAGGGGAGACTACACAAGACCTACAAGGGGGAGACTACAAGACCTACAAGGGGAGACTACACACAGACCTACAAGGGGACCTTACGACCTACAAAGTGGAGACTACATACTCCATTAATGGAGAGACTACATGACCTACACTGGAGACGGGGAGACTAACAAAGGGGAGACAACAAGACCTACAAGGGGAGACTACAAGACCTACAAGGGGAGACTACAAGACCTACAAGGGGAGACTACAAGACCTACAAGGGGAGACAACAAGACCTACAAGGGGAGACTACAAGACCCACAAGGGGAGACAACAACCTACAAAGGGAGACTACACCAACAACAAGGGGAGACTACCTAAGACCTACAAGGGAGACTACAAGACCTACAGGGGAGACAAGGAGACTACATGACCTACAAGGGAGACTACAAGACCTACAAGGGGGAGACAACAAGACCTACAAGGGAGACCTACAAGGGGAGACAAGACCTACAAGGGAGACAACAAGACCTACAAGGGGGAGACAACAAGACCTACAAGGGGAGACAACAAGACCTACAAGACCTACAAGGGGAGACTACAAGACCTACAAGGGGAGACTACAAGACCTACAAGGGGAGACTACAAGACCTACAAGGGGAGACTACAAGACCTACAAGGGGAGACTACAAGACCTACAAGGGGAGACTACAAGACCTACAAGGGGAGACTACATGACCTACAAGGGGAGACTACAAGACCTACAAGGGGAGACTACAAGACCTACAAGGGGAGACAACAAGACCTACAAGGGGAGACTACAAGACCTACAAGGGGAGACTACAAGACCTACAAGGGGAGACTACAAGACCTACAAGGGGAGACAACAAGACCTACAAGGGGAGGAGACCAAAGACCTACAAGAGGAGACTACAAGACCTACAAGGGGAGACTACAAGACCTACAAGGGGAGACTACAAGACCTACCTTTGCATATAAAACTGGGATCCCCAGCATGTGTATCATCATTGTCAGGACGAAAGAATGGACACATTTTCTCCACTTTAGAGCAGAAGTCTCCACACGGAGGCACTGGCTGGTCCATGTTGTTGTGGTAGTATGTCAACTTGGTGGCACACAACCATTCCTTATAGGCTGTCTGAAACACACAACAACACGAAACTGTTAATATCTCATCCAGGGAATATACCATTCTGAGACTGCATGCAAGACTGCCTGAAACACACAACACGAAACTGTTAATATCTCATCCAGTCAATATATCGTTCTGAGACTGCAAGCAAGACTGCCTGAAACACACAACACGAAACTGTTAATATCTCATCCAGTGAATATACCATTCTGAGAACCTGCTTCCTCTGGAGGAAGCTGAAAATATTTTGAAAAATAATGAAAGATGCTAAAGAAGTACAGGATGAGGCTACCCAAATCTACAAAAGGAAAAAAAGGCATTTGTATTATATATCATTGAGAAACGCTAAAATATACCACTCAAGTTATGATAGGGTCATTCCTTATCTTTCCATGACCTACAAAACTGATGCTCATTATATCAAAAGTATGTTTAATTTGAATGACATGTGACTATACCTATCAAATGCTGAGTAGTATATCTAAGTCATCGGACAGTGCAACACATTTACCACAAGAATAATCTGATTGTTCTAAGATTATAATTATTCCACTGATTCCTCGAAACCTGTCTACTTTAACCTGATGGATGATGTGGAAGGTTGTGGCCATATCCTGTATTTAGTATTGCATTATGAACCCTTGTAATCCAATTGGTTGTGTGATGATGACAACTGTTTTGCTTCTAACAGCGTGAAGATGACAGCATCACCAGACAAGTGTCATGTGACATAGAGTAGCCTGCTTCATATCCGTCTGTCACTATCATTACATCATGTGTCTGTCATCTGTCATATTAGCCAATCAGCACGTCCAAGTGGCAACACTGTGGTTACAGTGCTGTGTTTAACTGAATTACCACACCTGCTGGAACAATAGGTGCTGGAGCTAGCACATTTCTGTAGAGACTGAGACGTTTCCTGTCTAGCTGAGATAAACAGATATTCCAAACCAGCTGAGTAAAAAACCCAGGTGCCACAAAGCTGAAATCAACAGGTGCTCCTACCTAGCTGAGATAACAGGTGCCTATACCAAGCTGAGATAAACAGGTGCCCCTACCAAGCTGTGATAAACAGATGCCCCCACCAAGCTGAGATAAACAGATGCTCCTACCAAGGTGTGATAAACAGGTGCACCTACCAAGTTGTGATAAACAGGTGCACTTACCAAGCTGTGATAAACAGGTGCTCCTACCAAGCTGAGATAAACAGGTGCCCCTACCAAGCTGAGATAAACAGGTGCCCCTACCAAGCTGAGATAAACAGGTGCACCTACCAAGCTGATATAAACAGGTGCTCCTACCAAGCTGAGATAAACAGGTGCCCCTACCAAGCTGAGATAAACAGGTGCTCCTACCGAGCTGATATAAACAGATGCCCCTACCAAGCTGAGTTAAACAGGTGCTCCTACCATGCTGAGATAAACAGGTGCCCCTACCAAGCTGAGATAAACAGGTGCTCCTACCAAGCTGAGATAAACAGGTGCCCCTACCAAGCTGAGATAAACAGGTGCTCCTACAAAGCTGATATAAACAGATACTCCTGACCAAGCTGAATTAAACAGGTGCCTCTACCAAGCTGAGTTAAACAGGTGCCCCTACCAAGCTGAGATAAACAGGTGCTCCTACAAAGCTGATATAAACAGATACTCCTGACCAAGCTGAATTAAACAGGTGCCCCTACCAAGCTGAGTTAAATTGGTGCCTCTACCAAGCTGATTTAAACAGGTGCTCCTACCAAGCTGATATAAACAGGTGCCCCTACCAAGCTGATATAAACAGGTGCCCCTACCAAGCTGAGATATACAGGTGCCCCTACCAAGCTGAGATATACAGGTGCCCCTACCAAGCTGAGATATACGGGTGCCCCTACCAAGCTGAGATAAACAGATGCCCCTACCAAGCCGAGATAAACAGGTGCCCCTACCAAGCTGAGATAAACAGGTGCTCCTACCAAGCTGAGATAAACAGGTGCCCCTACCAAGCTGAGATAAACAGGTGCTCCTACAAAGCTGATATAAACAGATACTCCTGACCAAGCTGTGATAAACAGGTGCTCCTACCAAGCTGAGATAAACAGGTGCCCCTACCAAGCTGAGATAAACAGGTGCTCCTACCGAGCTGATATAAACAGATGCCCCTACCAAGCTGAGTTAAACAGGTGCTCCTACCAAGCTGAGATAAACAGGTGCCCCTACCAAGCTGAGATAAACAGGTGCTCCTACAAAGCTGATATAAACAGATACTCCTGACCAAGCTGAATTAAACAGGTGCCTCTACCAAGCTGGTGCTAAACAGGTGCCCCTACCAAGCTGAGATAAACAGGTGCTCCTACAAAGCTGATATAAACAGATACTCCTGACCAAGCTGAATTAAACAGGTGCCCCTACCAAGCTGAGTTAAATTGGTGCCTCTACCAAGCTGATTTAAACAGGTGCTCCTACCAAGCTGATATAAACAGGTGCCCCTACCAAGCTGATATAAACAGGTGCCCCTACCAAGCTGAGATATACAGGTGCCCCTACTGAGATATACAGGTGCCCCTACCAGCTGAGATATACAGGTGCCCCTACCAAGCTGAGAGGAATGCTACCAAGCTGAGATAAACAGGTGCCCCTACCAAGCTGAGATAAACAGATGCCCCTACCAAGCCGAGATAAACAGGTGCCCCTACCAAGCTGAGATAAACAGGTGCTCCTACAAAGCTGATATAAACAGATACTCCTGACCAAGCTGTGATAAACAGGTGCCCCTACCAAGCTGAGTTAAACAGGTGCCTCTACCAAGCTGATATAAACAGGTGCTCCTACCAAGCTGATATAAACAGGTGCTCCTACCAAGCTGATATAAACAGATACTCCTGACCAAGCTGAATTAAACAGGTGCCCCTACCAAGCTGAGTTAAACAGGTGCCTCTACCAAGCTGATATAAACAGATGCTCCTACCAAGCTGATATAAACAGATACTCCTGACCAAGCTGATATAAACAGATGCCCCTACCAAGCTGAGTTAAACAGGTGCTCCTACCAAGCTGAGATAAACAGGTGCCCCTACCAAGCTGAGATAAACAGGTGCTCCTACCAAGCTGAGATAAACAGGTGCTCCTACCAAGCTGAGATAAACAGGTGCTCCTACAAAGCTGATATAAACAGATACTCCTGACCAAGCTGAATTAAACAGGTGCCCCTACCAAGCTGAGTTAAACAGGTGCCTCTACCAAGCTGATATAAACAGGTGCTCCTACCAAGCTGAGATAAACAGGTGCCCCTACCAAGCTGATATAAACAGGTGCTCCTACCAAGCTGAGATAAACAGGTGCCCTTACCAAGCTGAGATAAACAGGTGCTCTTACAAAGCTGAGATAAACAGATAATCCTACCCAGAGATGAAACAATGCTTCCTGCCTAGCTGACATAAAGAGCTGCAACAAACATACACCTACACCCTACTGAGATAAATAAATTCTCCTAACCAGCTGAAATAAACATATGCCTACACCCTCCTGAGATAAATAGATGCTCCTAACCAGCTGAAATAAACATATTGCCTACACCCTACTGAGATAAATAGACGCTCCTAGCCAGCTGAAATAAACATATGCCTACACCCTACTGAGATAAATAGATGCTCCTAACCAGCTGAAATAAACATATTGCCTATGCCCTACTGAGATAAATAGATGCTCCTAGCCAGCTGAAATAAACATATGCCTACACCCTACTGAGATAAATAGATGCTCCTAACCAGCTGAAATAAACATATGCCTACACCCTACTGAGATAAATAGATGCCAATATCAAGCAGATATACACATATGGAGATAGACACCAAACTCGGTTTAATGGATATTCTTGCTAAACTGATATAAGCAATTATTTCTAAGCAGCTAGTAAGAACAGATATCTCCTACCCATCTAAGATGAAAGAGTGAATGAGCAAGTGAGTCGGGTTTTACACCACTTTCAGCAGTATTCCAGCAATATCACAGCGGGGACACCAGAAATGGGCTTCACACATTGTACCCATGTGGGGAATCGAACCTTGGTCTTCGGTGTGACAAGCGAACGCTTTAACCACTAGGCTACCCACCACCCAGCTAAGAAAAAGAACATCTCCTGACATGACACGACGATCACAAGGAAACAATAGTCCAAATGTGATCAGCCTACACCAATAGTGTATATATGATCAGCTATATCTCAGCTTGGTAGGGGCACCTGTTTATCTCAGCTTGGTAGGGGCACCTGTATATCTCAGCTTGGTAGGGGCACCTGTTTATCTCAGCTTGGTAGGGGCATCTGTTTATCTCAGCTTGGTAGGGGCACCTGTTTATCTCAGCTTGGTAGGGCACACCTGTTTATCTCAGCTTGGTAGGGGCACCTGTTTATCTCAAGCTTGGTAGGGGCACCTGTTTATCTCAGCTTGGTAGGGGCACCTGTTTATCTCAGCTTGGTAGGGGCACCTGTTTATCTCACCTTGGTAGGAGCACCTGTTATATCTCAGCTTTGTAGGGGCACCTGTTTATCTCAGCTTGGTAGGGGCATCTGTTTATCACAGCTTTGTAGGAGCACCTGTTTATCACAGCTTGGTAGGGTCATTGTTCCAGCAGGTGTGTTAATTCAGTTTAACACAGCACTGTGATCAGCCTACACCAATAGTGTATATATGATCGGATACCACACTGGTGAATCACAAACATAATTGGGTATATTTAGATTTCCTATTTAGAACTGAATACATATTGAGAACCTTATATACGTCTTGCATCTTTGAACTGATGGGGGAGTCTGACCTTATGGAACAACAAGTTTCTACAACCTTCCATGGGTACCAACTACAAGTGCTGGCTAGACTGCAGTGTTTGGCCTGGGGGTGGTTCATCAGGGTGGGTACTGGAGCATCAGTAGGTCACCTTGAGTCACTAGACTGTACTTCAGTCCTGTACACAATGGCTGGAAGCCTCTCAATAACTCTACAAGATACCACAAACAGCTCAAGAAGAAGCTCC